CCCCCCCCAAATCCTTAAAATTTGACAAATACTTTAAAATCCATGGTGGTGAGGAACTCTACGCTCCATGTTGCAGTGACAGGGCTTTAGTCTAATAACCAGGACCCTCCTTTTTGCTGTAGCAGTTCTCCATATAAATCACCACTTTGTTCCCTTGCTTCAAATGACGGTCTTCTTTGATCATGACTTCACACAATGAAAAGATACTTCCTTGTGCGAAGCAGCGCTTAACCTTCCATAACCTCAGACAACAAAGGCCCCTGTGTGAGAAGCAGGAATTCCTCTTGGAATACAGGGAAGGCCCCCTGCTCAACCGTATCCCAGGAAGATGTTGCAGAGCTTGCAAAGCTTGATCAGAGAAAGGGGCACTGCATGAGATCTTTTCTTTCTGTTCAGATATTGGCTCTGCTTAGGGATGGGGGTGGGGGACCATCAAAGGAAATCAGAAGCCAAACCTGAATGTGTTTGCCAATTACAAGGAAAAGTGCTGGTGCCAACACAGACTTATCATGTTCAGAATTTAATGCCATTTGGAAAGAAATTGGTTTCCTTCTCATGGAAGAAACAGAAGGCTGTAGAAAGACTATCCAGTTTGTGATCCAAGCTGAGACGAAAACCCATCTACAGTTAAGTCACGGCTGCTTCCATTTACCTCTGTCTTGGCCACTAAGGAAAGCCAGCATGGTATCACTGCCATCGTAGACTGCCAGTCTCCTGGCTCTGGCTTTGGTGTGGCATTTGAGGTCCTTCCCCACCCCTACCTCAACCCATGGTCTATATTTACCTCCCAGCCAGCTTTCCACCACCCACAAATCTTCTCTTCCACCCACCTTCCTCACACCCATCTACTCCTCTCAGCCCTTATTGAAGGGCTTATGGAATGATGGAAACTGCCTTTGGGTAAATGTGGCACATCCAGGGCCTGTGATAAGTGTGAGTGTCCTTTTGCTTCTTTGAACAGAAATCCCCCTTTCTGAGCCCTGCAGTAATGGCAAACACTCCCCCAAAAGCTGGAAAACAGGGTAATGATAAGAAAGTAGGGGTGAGTAGGGAGGGGGTTCTCATTGCATGCCAGCAATGAACAGAAAGAACAGCAGTAGTCACCTGTGCCTTACCACCCTCTGACCCTCATTCACCACGAGCTATACATCTCCTCCGATGAACAAAGGTACAGAGACCTTGAGAGAGCTGCTCCTTGACACACAGCTCATAAATACTGAAGTTAAGATTCCAATTCACAAGTTTCTGGCTCGGAGGCTGGAGAGATGGCTCAGGAGTTAAGAGCCCTGGCTGCTCTTGCAGAGGACCTGGGTTCTATTCCCAGCCACCACATGGCAGCTAACAACTGTCCTTGACACGAGTTCCAGGAGATCAGATACCTTCTTCTGACCTCCGCAGGCATTGCACAACATGGGTGCACTTACATACATGCAGGCAACACACTCGTGCACATAAAATAAAAATAATAAATTTTAAAAAAGTTTCTGGCTCTAGAGCTAGCCCTGTCTTTCTGAGCAGAAGTGCCTTTTCAAAGATTTGCAAACTTCTAGCCATTGCAGTATTTACCCCGTCCAGTAGAGTTTTCAGTGCTCTCTGTCTCCAGAGGCTGACAGGGTAGCCACCACCCACATTTGAAATGTGGCTGCATAGCATTACCAAGGAACAGAACTTTTAACTATATTTGAGTAATTTAAATTTAAATAACTATATGTGGTTAGGAGACATCACCTTGGACTGTGCAGCTCTAGACTATTCCAAAAGGTTCAAAGCATTTTGCCTATAATCTCTATTACATCACTGCATCATACTTATTTATGCTATGGCCGTAGCTTTGTGTCTTGAAGAGAAAATGGAGATTTTTCTTTTTTAATATTTGATTATTATTTTATTTTATGTGTATGAGTGTGTTGCCTGCATGTGTGTAAGTGCACCCGTGTCATGCAGTGCTCTCAGAAGTCACCGCCGTACTCCCCTGAAACTGGAATCACGGACTGTTGTTAGCTGCCATGTGGGTGCTGGGAATCGAACCTAGGTCCTTTGCAAGAGCAGACAGTGCTCTTAACCCTTGAGCCATCTCTCCAGCCCCCAAAGGGGATTTTTCTAGTACTAATGGGTAAGGAGGCACGACAACCAGAAGGAATAATGTATGTAAAGATGTGAAAGCAAGAAACCATTAGTATGGCTGAAAACAGTGAAAACATCAGACTAGAAATACAGTTTCAGGGCTAATCTGGGAAAGCCACTGGTGCTGCATTCTGGAAGGTCTTGAATATATAACTGAGGGTCTTAATGACTTGACAGGCAATACAGAACCACACAGGGGTCTGGGAATAGCTAAATGAGAGCTAGCTCTGCAAGAATGATACCATCCATGTACTGGATCATAGTTTAAATTTATGTTTTTTTAATTTTTATTCACGTGTGTGTATGTGTGTCTGTGTATATATATGTTGGGGTGCCGTAGGGGCCAGAAGAGGGCATCAGATCACCTGGAGCTGGAGTTACCAGGGGTGGTGAGCTACCCAATTGTGGGTACTGGGAACTGAACTTCCTTGTAAAAGCACAGCTATTGCTCTTAACTGCTGAGCCATGTCTCCAGTTCCCACAGTTTAAATGTTCTCTTAAAGAGTCCATTCATCACTCAAATGAAAGCCTGTCATGCCAAACTGCTGCACCAGGTGTTTGCTATGAAGCTCCGTCTCTGGTTGTAGTATCTGTCTACCTATCACATGATATGTTCTGGGGTGGGTCAAGGAGAGTGAGCCATTGACCTTTCACACTCTCAGTCTTAGCCCCTGCTTGACTCAGTCATGTCTCACTGTTCATGTGCAGACATTGAGGAGAGTATCCAACAGAGAGTGCAGGACTTTCTTCAAAACAAAAACATGTGAAATGATCAGTTCCTCTGAGATACCAGGAAATAAGGCAGGAGTTCCTAGCACTGTACCTTTGTGTGACCTTGGCTGAGTCTTTCAAACTGCATTTTTAGTCTTGGTGTAGCTGATGCTGAGGTCCTCTGTGCAGCGTTCACTGACAAAGTAAGAGCTTGATTGGAGGAGCTGGAGTGTGGGTGCTGCAGAGGCCAACTTTGCGTCTGTTCTACCCAGAGCACAGCATAATTGTATTATTTTGTATCCAGTTTCTCCTCAGCACAACAGTTGATTCTTTGAGATTCAGCCCTCCTCTCAAACATTACCACTGCGCCTTCTGTTTCTTTTGCTCAAACCCTTCTCTCCATCCACGTAGAGAGAGCTTCCCTCCACTAGTCTTCCTCCTTGAAGTGTCCTTGTCCTCCAAGTAAACCCTTGTCCCTTCTGAACCTCCTCACTGCTTTGCTCTTGAAACACAAAAAATCCAGAATATTCACTCCTTTGTATACAAGGCTTTAGGTCTATAGAGCATACCACACAACAGCCCATCTACTGAGGCTTCCTGGTACCTTGTCACAAAACATGAGTTCAGAAGTATTTGTTAGTAAAGAAAATAATGTCCCTTGCTTCCTCTCTGGCATGCTCCCTCCTGCCGTAACTGGCCACCACTAGTTTCCCACCTGCCTGGCTCAGGCGCTGTCAACATCTCAAAGCCACCCAGTGGCACAGTTGCCCAGTGCCTAGCCTCTCCAGGATGTAGGCAGCGTCCCTTTTCATGGTATTATTTCTGCACCACATACTGTTTCAGTTATTTATAAGCTCCCTCACCTCCTTGCACTCCCCAGCGAGGTAGTTAGCTCCCTGGGTGTATGAACTTGGCCTTTCTCATGCCATCTTTACCAACTCATACGTTAATGAATTATGAATGCTATAAGAAAAATTAAGGATAATGGAATTAGGAAGATTCGAGCAATGTTTTCAATTTTAGGGAACTGTTGAACAGTAAAGAGATACTGAGTGAAAAGAAGAGGTTAACAGAATGTGAAATTGAACTACTGAATGAGTGTAACATCCTGGTATTATATGGTAGATTGGAGACAAAGTTTGTTATGCTAGTATATAGTTTATTAAAGAGTAGAATAAGACCATTTCTTGAAAACTATCTGTTTATATAAAGTACTCCAGTCAGAAATTAGTAAAAATCTTGACATTTTCTTGGCCTTCTAAAGTTCTACAAATCATTTTCATTAAAAGCAAAGATATTTTCATATTTTTCTCTTTTATTGAATGGTTATACATTTACTCATGAAGCTTTGCTTGATATGTCTACAGAGAGCAGAGTCCTTTAATTCTTCTTTTTGCTTCTTTCTTTTCTTCCTTCCTTTTTCTTTCTTAGGAAAAGCTATAACCACCAAAGAAGAGGCATGCTGTCATGTAACGTTTATCAGTACCAATCACAAGAAAAGTATTTCAGTGTGTTTAGGCAGCTGTAACAAAATGCCCTCGACTGGATAGTTTATAAACAACAGAATTATGTTCCTCACAGTTCTGGAGACGGGGAAGCCCCAGATGAAGGCCCTGGCACATTGGTTTCTACTACAGCCCATGCCTTAGATGACCATCTTTCACTGTACTTGTACTTGGCAAAGAGCCAAGGGAGCTCCCTGAGGCCTCCTTTTTAAGGACCCTGCCCTCCATCATGATCCACTTCACTTCCTGAAGGCTGCACCTTCTAATCCCGTCACACTGAGGATTGGTTCAGCATCTGGATTTTGAAGGCAGACACACACATTCAGACCTTCAGGCCATAGCAGATAGCATCAGGTTATTGAACAAATCCAACATGCCCAGCATGCAATAAACAGTCTACATTTTGTGCCATTTAAATCTCATTACAATCTCATTTTATAAAGGGAACACTGAGATGTTGGTTAATTGTTAATTCATTGTTAACTACCAGGGGCTGGGCTGCCAACTCAGGCCTCGCAAACCTCAGACCTTTTACCTCACTCTTCCAGGGCAGAAACCCCACCCCCACATCACCATCCTGCACCCCTCACTTTCCCTATGCAACCCAGCCATGAAAATGAGGTAACATGCTCCCCTCAGTTCTCAACTTTGTTGTTGCAGGGAGAGAAGTTAACCCTCCAGAGAAAGCTGATGGCCTGTCTCCCCCACAGGTAAGCTGGGGGTTCTTTTGCTCTGCTTTGGGGATTGTTCATTCTTTCATTGAATTTTCTATCACTCAGTGATAGATTTTCTTTGTTTGGCTTTAATGCTTAAGGGAATGAAAATTATAACCAATGGACAGAGCTATTCTACAAGTCTGCTTTTTTCTGGATCGTTCGATCTCAGTGCAGTCCTGTGATTTTGTTGTTTTTGTTGTTGTTTTGGTTTGGTTTGGATTTTGTCTGGAATTTGTTTTGAACTTTTCAAAGATATATCTTGTATATGTGTGGACATGTGCATGTGGAAGTCAAAGGACAACTTGTGGGAGTCAGTTTTCTTCTACATGGGTCCGGGGAATTGAACTCAGGTCCTCAGACTTTGCAGCAGGTATCGGAGCCATCGCTCTGGCTCTTCATGATTTCTTTTTACTTTTGTTGTTGGGAAAAGAGATGAGACATGAACCAACCAAGTCCTCACACTGGAAGATTTCCAATGAGTTTCCCAAGGAGTTGGGGTCTTCTCCAGGGAAGTCCACATACCCCCAGCACAGTGGCTCTCAGCATCATCCCAGGACTGAAGTCTCCACCTCACCTAGGAACTTGTCAGAATTGCAGTTTCTCAGGCCCCACCCCACACCTCTGAATCAGAAGCTCCCCACAATGCCCAGAGTGTATCCATAAGTTTAGAGACCAGGTCCTGGGTTGTAGACCTTCTTTTATGGTTTGAATATAAAATGTGCCCCCCAGGTTTGTGTGTTGAAGGCTTGGTACCCAGCTGGGTGGAGCTATTGGGGTGGGGGGGGGATGATAGACACTTCAATTGGAAAGACCTAGCAAGAGGAAGTAGGTCACTGGGGGTGGGGAGCGTCCTTGGGGACTCTATCCTTCCCTGGCACTTTTCTGCCTCTCTGCCTCCTGGCTGCTCTGTGTCACATGATCCTGCCACCATGGCTTAGGCCCAGAGCAATGGATCCTGCCGTCCTTGGACTGAAACTCTGATACTGTGAACCAAAATAAATCTTTCCTCCTTTTAAATTGTTTTTCTCAAGTGTTTCCCCTCACCAACTTGCAGGACCATCTTCTACATTTCCACTCCAGTCCATCCAACCTGTTTCTGTCGTGTGACTCAGAAATACTTGTGTGCATTAGCCTTGTTTCCTTGGCAAGTTCTAGGTCATCATACTGCTCCACCTCTGCAGAGCCATATCATCCTTTGAAGTTCATGCCACCTGCTTAGTCTACCCTTCCCGCTACCCACTGTTAGGGTTCAAGGATCTCCCAGCTACTCCTCATCATCTGGTACTATGGCTCAAAGGCATCTTGACTTTCTGTACTCCAGTCACCCTCGTTTCAGCTACTTTTCAATCTACTATGGCTACATCCTGGAAAATGCCATTAACTATGTATTCTAAATACTGAGGTCAGGCCACCATCTCTTAGTACTCCAGATTTCTCAAGCTAACTTTGACTGTTTCTCTCTAACTTCATTTGTATGTCCAGCCCCAGGATGCCCATCAAATAGTGAATAAAGTAAATCTATTCGTGTTATGCTATGAAGGCACTGGGAAAGGTAATATTCAGGTGTTATAAGAGCTGTCTAGACTGGGAGATGAGATCAGAGGGCAAAGGGAACAGCCAATGAGAAGAAAGAAGCATAAAGATTTGAAAGAAGGCTAGTATGGCCAGAAAATTACAGAGGCACTGATGCGGTAGAGGGTTGTGTATGTCTGTGTATAGCCTTTGTTTTATAGGGTTCTTAGTTTGAAGTGAGCTATATAATCAATGCTCATAATTCACTACAGTTATGTCCTTTCTATAGAAGTTGCTGGAAAAAAAAAAAGAGTTGGTGAATTCAAACCACTGCTCCCAGATTCCTGTCAGCTTCCCATCACATTTTCATTTGCTCGTCTGTATGAATAACCTGTTTCAAGACACCCTGTTTGAAAACACTTCCTTAATTCACTATGAAGTGACCTTGGGACCAGCAGCACTGCCCCTCCCTGAATGAAACGTACCCAGCACATCTCTTTTCTCTGCGAGGCTCTTCACAGCTTTCTTTAACTTGAGAGAGAGAGAGAGAGAGAGAGAGAGAGAGAGAGAGAGAGATCTCGGTAGATGATATTGAACCAACTAAAACCTCTACTTGGTGTCTGTGGTGATGGGCCCATCCTGAGGCTATCCAGGGGACCCAGCCTAAATCACCTTAATAATATAAACTCAGGTGTGATCAAAGGAACTTGTTAGGAACTGCCAAGATGCTCCTGTGACTCAGAGCTTCAGGAGCTCTGTGCCTGGAACTAGAAACAACAATCAAATGTATTCCTTATTTTACCACAACTCCGTATATGATTTTATACGCTCCTTGCCCCGTCCTTCTGGTGAGGTGACCATAGAAGTAAAACTGATCATATGCTAATGCCAAGGGGTTCTCATGCTGAGATTGCTTTGTAACTTAAATCAGAGTAAGGTAAATTAGCCTAACAAGCTAGGTTGAGTCCTTCCTCAGCCACCCCTGGTGCCCCCTTTGCAGCACCCTCACCCTCACCCTGTTGTGACCTTCCCTATGTGGATTTGCAGTAAGAGCAGGTTTTGTCATTTTCTGATGGTGGTTAAAGGTATGGCAGAAGAGGAATCCAGGCTTGATGTTTACCCATAAATCTTGCAGTTGGGAACCTAAGACCAGAATGTCAACATTTAAGGCCAGCCTGGCCTGCACAAAGTCATCCTGTCTCAAAAATATTTTTTAAAAAGTATAACAGGGCTAACTCTCCTAGCCTGCACTACTATCCTCAGGCCTCTTGGGGTAAGTCTATAGCGCAGCTCTCCGCGCCGGGACTCCCTAAGCCTCATTCACCCTTCCACCCCACCCCCCACCCCCCTGCCCCCCCGCCTGGCATTCTATACTCTAGCTTGGACCCTGTGCCATTCCTAGTCTTGGGGCCCCAGACACCTGGGGAAC